AACACTTGGACTAAACAATATACTTAAAACAAAAATATAACTAACAAACAAGCTACCGTATATCTCTGAAAATAAGCTACCTTTTTTTTTTAAAAAAAATTATATGAAAATATTTATCAAATTTGGTTTGAAAATTATATAGTGATCTACATCAGTGTTGTCACGTCTAGAGATGTACATCTCGCGCGAAATGCAGATCTCATAGTACATTATCTGTAGTTGTTCGCGCCACGCGCAAGAGTATGGCCGAAAAAATTAGATGAAAATATTAATCAAATTTGGTATGAAACTTAAATAGCGATATAAATCCTTTAAGTCCTGACTAGAGATGTACATCTCTAGTCACGTCTACTATGTCCAAGACTTTTTCTGCCTATGTCCACGTCCGAACGCCCACAGTATCCACAACTGTCCAAAAAATATTTAGACTAAAAATTTAATAAATTAGTTTAAAAAGAATAAGATCATATATTTTTTATAGTTCTGAATATTTTTGCTTAAAAGATTAAAATAGGTTATCTTAATAAAATTTTGAGTAATTTAGATTTGTTTTTTTATTCAAAATTGTCCATAATTTGTCCAAAGCTGTCCCGTGCCAACACTGATCTACATTATGCGCAGGTAATTCTATTGGTCAGAATTTTGTGTACCTGATAATTTTTAGTGGTGTTGTTGGAGTATTAACCAATCTCAAAAACTAGCGGAATTTATGATTTAATTTTGGATCACTTATCAAAATCCGAAATATTTCGGAAGTGAAAAACTGAAAAACAATTTCTGGGGTTTAAATATTCATCATGACTATTCACAAGTTTTTATCATCCCATTAATAGTATTAAATGAATGTCTGTATTTAATATGGATACTCATAAAAGAATTTACGAATATTCATTGCTATATTCTAAACACAGAATATTCATGACTGTTCACGAATTTCGTGTAGTTTAAATATTTATTGAATATTAACAGTCTAATAAATCTAATCCTCGACTATTCGCCAACTTTGTATGCTTTTAATTGAATTTTCATTTTTGACGGTGGATATTCACGGATCCCACCTCTAATTTTGAGTGAATTCGTAGTTTCAACAGTGAGTTCGTATTTTAAGGTAGGTGGGTTCACAATTTGAGTAGTGGATGAGTTAATTAATTCAACGATGGTAGGTTCATTATTTCAGCATTTGAGTTCATATGATTTCAGTAACGTAGATCGTAACTTCATTAGTTGGTGGATTCATCATTTCAGCAGTGGATATCCGTGGCTTCAACGCGGGTAGATTTATTATTTCAATAGTAGTGGATTGCTAATAGCAAATGAGTTGGTTTATGATTTTGGTAGTGGGTATGTAGTGATTTCAATTGTGGGTGAGATCATGATTTTAACAGTGAGTGGGCTCGTGATCTCAATAATGGGTGAATTCGTGATTTTAATAATAAGTCCACAATTTAGTAATAAACATTGTTAATAACGGATGGGCTCAGAATTCAATAGTGGTGGGTTTATTATTTTAATAGCGATGGATTTATAATTTCAACAGTGGGTGGTTTATGATTTCAACGGTGGGTAGCTCGTAATTTAAACAGAGCGTAAGCTAGTGAGCTCATGATTTTAGTAGTGAACAAGCAGCAATTTTAGTTGAGTGATTAACTCGTGATTTTACAATGATTTCGTGATCATATTCACAATTTAGTGTAAGTAGGCTCGTGCTTTAAACCGTGGCTAATTTGTGACTCTAACAGTAAATGGGTTTGTAATTTTAATAATAGTTGCATTCGTGACTTTAGCAGTAAGTAGTTCTATAATTTCAGCGATTTCAATGATGTGTGGATTGATTCGTGCTTTTATCAATGAGTGTGGTCGACATTTTAACATTGGTTGGTTCACAAATTAGTAGTGTGTAGGCTCACTATGTGAGCAGGAAAATTTAATGTTGTGTTCATGATTTTAATGATGGTTGTAATGTATAAATATCTTTTGGCACATATTATTTAACATATTTAAATATCTGTCTGCCTTGTCAAACTTTTGGTAATTTGGTTGGTTAGATCTAATGTCACTACATTATAGGTTCTTTTACAGCAAAACCATACTTAGAATATATTTCATAGACCCTAAGCATGGTTTTGATATAGGGCAATTCTATAGTCGTTGTTCATACTACGATCACTATAAACTTTTAATTAGTGTATCGATATTTACTAAAATAATCGCTCGAAATCATGCAATGAGGCGATTGCAATTGCAATGTGAGTTGTTGCAATTGTTCCCATATATGGGAAATTTTTGACATATTCCATGCCCAAAGTTGTTAGATCGGAGGTTCGGAATTTGCCTGGCATAACTATGAATAAGTGATTCGAAACGAATGTTTTTTATATCCATCGATTCACCTTGGTGAGAAAAATTGAATGGTATAAGAATCATTAGACTCTATTTAATAGGACCCCGTGTTAACTTCGATCTTATATGATCTAGTTTATCATTCCGTCATATTACTTTATAAAAGTTAAAATTTATTAAATTAATATTAGCTCAAAAGATCAAAAATAAAAAATATATATTCTAAACGTTCAACATGAATTAAGTAATTTTTTATTAGTATATTTATTTTTTATGCCTTACAAAATATTGAAAACTAGGTTTTAAATTTTGATTCTGATCAAGCCAGATTTTAGGTTTGGAACTTCTTATACAAAACTTGTCCTTAGGTTTTTAATTTGGAATCTAAAGGTTTTAGAACTTAATCCAAATCTAAACTAATTTTACCGATTCTACTTGTCATATTTTCTTTTTCTTGCTCCATTAACTCCGAATACTCTCTTGTCACCTTTCGTTGCAACACCCGCCATGCTTTTTCAGTGAATGGTCTAATGTATTTATACGAATTTTTCAAAGAATGACATTGATCAAGATATTTTCGCAAATACTTGTGAGTTCCATTTTCATTCATTTCCAGACATAATTCATTAATTTTCGCGTCAATGGCGTGTTTTCGTTCTGTTTTTTGTACTTTTTTGGCGGCCATATCTTCAAAGAAACGTGAATCCATTTCTTTTTCAATTTGCTCAGTGATATTGCGCTGATTTTCCATCCAAGATAGGCATTCTTGCGAAGTAAGACGTTTGAATTCTTCATGTTTTGGCATTATTTGATCTAACCAGAAGATTGGAATAGAGCGTGTGTAAGAGCAGGGTAACAAGTGCAAAACCGCTGGTGGAACAATTTTCGATTCAATTAACTCTTCTTGCCTGTTAATACATAATTATTAAATATGTAATTATTTAGTTTATAACAAAATAATAACTTTAAACATAAACTTACGATTTAGTACGAGTTTTTAAACATTCAAAACAAGATCGAACTCCACGTTCCCAATAAATCCTACTATTTTTATTTCTTCTTCCGCAAAAATAACATTTATCTTCCACCAAGAATCTAACATATTCTTTCTCATTCATCCCTTCGGGTGGTCCCATTTGTCGATAAGGCATGAAAATAAGACGCGATTGACGCCAAATCTCTTGAATAGTTACTGATTCACCAAGACAAAGGTCATTATAAAAGAGTCGACAAACTCTTGAAAGTGAAAGCAAATCAAATGGTGGAAGATATCTACAAATGTTTAAGAAGATTTCAGGTGGTAATGTGATAAGAGGAGAATAACTTGTTGATAATGATGATATGGTGGGAATAGAAGGTTTTTTAAATGTTGAGGATTTCGAAAGTTTGTACATTTTTT